GTGGGTGGAATACGGACTTGTTTCTGTTTTTTATTTATTTATTTTTTTTTTTTACTATTATTTTCTGTTTTGTGTACATTTTTTTACATTTCTTTCTGTGTACATTTTTTTTACTATTAATTTCTGTTCTGTTACTTTTTTTACTATTAATTTCTGTGCTGATGAGAATGGGTCTTATACGTTTCGGACATGTGTTTCGCAAGGTTGAAACAAAAAAAATAAAATCGTCAATTTTCCATATGTGTTTCCCAAGATTAAAAACAAAAAATAAAATCGTCAATTTCTTACATGTGTTTCCCAAGGTTAAAAAAATAAATAAAATAATAAAAACGTCAATTTTCCATATGTGTTTCCCAGATTAAAAACAAAATATTAAATCGTCAATTTCTTACATGTGTTTCCCAAGATTCAAAAAAAAAAAAAAATCGTCAATTTTCCATTTGTTCCCCAAGATAAAAAAAAAAAAAAATCGTCAATTTTCCATATGGTGTTTCCAAGATTCAAAAAATAAAATCAATTTTCCATATGTGTTTCCCAAGATTAAAAACAAAAAAAAATCGTAAAAATGTTTCCACAAAAAATAAAAATCGTCAATTTTCCATTTGTGTTTCCCAAGATTAAAAACAAAAAATAAAATCGTCAATTTTCCATATGTGTTTCCCAAGATTGAAAACAAAAAAAAAAAAATTGTCAATTTCCATATGTGTTTCCAAGATTAAAAACAAAAAATAGAAGAATTTTCCATATTTGTTTCCCAAGATTAAAACAACAAAAATAAAATCAATTGTTCCATATGTGTTTCCCAAATTAAAAACAAAAAATAAAATCGTCAAATTCTTACATGTTTCCCAAGAATAAAAAACAAAAAATAAAATCGTCAATTTTCCATTTGTGTTTCCCAAGATAAAAACAAAAAAAAAATCGTCAATTTTTCAATGTGTTTCCCCAAGATTGAAAACAAAAAAAAAAAAAAAATTGTCAATTTTCCATATGTGTTTCCCAAGATTAAAACAAAAAATAGAATCAATTTTCCATATGTGTTTCCAGATTAAAAACAAAAAATAGAATCAATCCATATGTTCCAAGATAAAAACAAAAATAAAATCAATTTTCCCATATGTGTTTCCAAGATTAAAAACAAAAAATAAATCAATTTCCATATGTGTTTCCCAGATTAAAAACAAAAAATAAAATCAATCCATATGTGTTTCCCAAGATTAAAACAAAAAATAAAATCAATTTTCATATGTGTTTTCCCAAGATAAAAACAAAAATAAAATCGTCAAATTTCTACATGTTTCCCAAGATTAAAAACAAAAAATAAAAATCGTCAATTTTCCATTTGTGTTCCCAAGATTAAAACAAAAAATAAAATCGTCAATTTTTCAGATGTGTTCCAAGATTGAAAACAAAAAAAAAATTGTCAATTTTCCATATGTGTTTCCAAGATTAAAAACAAAAAATAGAATCAATTTTCCATATGTGTTTCCCAAGATTAAAAACAAAAATAGAATCAATTTTCCATATGTGTTTCCCAAGATTAAAAACAAAAAATAAAATCAATTTTCCATATGTGTTTCCCAAGATTAAAAACAAAAAATAGAATCAATTTTCCATATGTGTTTCCCAAGATTAAAAACAAAAAATAAAAATCAATTTTCCATATGTGTTTCCCAAGATTAAAAACAAAAAATAAAATCAAATTTTCATATGTGTTTCCCAAGATAAAAACAAAAAAATAAAATCAATTCCATAAGTTTCCCAAAATTAAAACAAAAAATAAAATCAATTTTCCATATGTGTTTCCCAAGATTAAAAACAAAAATAAAATCAATTTTCCATATGTGTTTCCCAAGATTAAAACAAAAAATAGAATCAATTTTCCATATGTGTTTCCAAGATTAAAAACAAAAAATAGAATCAATTTCCATATTCCAAGATTAAAAGCAAAATAAAAAGTCAATTTTCCATATGTGTTTCCAAGATTAAAAACAAAAATAAAATCAATTTTCCATATGTGTTTCCCAAGATTAAAAACAAAAAATAAAATCAATTTTCCATATGTGTTTCCCAAGATTAAAACAAAAAATAAAACGTCAATTTTCCATATGTGTTTCCCAAATTAAAAACAAAAAATAAATCAATTTTCCATATGTGTTTCCCAAGATTAAGCAAAAAAATAATAAATCAATTTTCCATATGTGGTTTCCCAAGATTAAAAACAAAAAAATAAAATCAAATTTTCCATATGTGTTTCACAAGATTAAAAACAAAAAATAGAATCAATTTTCCATATGTGTTTTCCCAAGATTAAAAACAAAAAAATAAAAATCAATTTTCCATATGTGTTTCCCAAGATTAAAAACAAAAAAAAAAATCAATTTTCCATATGTGTTTCCCAAGAATAAACTAAAATGTGTTCCCAAGATTAAGAGAATAAAAAACGCATATTTTCCCAAGTATTTTCCAGATGTAAGGATAAAAAACAAAACATAAAATCGTCAATTTTCCATATGTGTTTCCCAAGATTGAGAAAAATAAAATCGTCAATTTCTTACATGTGTTTCAAGGTTGAAAACAAAAAATAAAATCGTCAATTTTCCATATGTGTTTCCCAAGGTTAAAAAAAAAATCTCGTCAATTTCCTAGTTGAATTATCCATCTCTAACCCGGAATCGATCAAGAGTTTGCAATTTGTAAGTACATTAACGTTTCCTTCGTTGTATATCCAAGGCGCGTCCGGACGTAATTAGGAACCGACAGAAAACCCTCAAAATGCCAAAGGGATTTAGACTGATCAGCTGTATTTCATCATCAGTTAAAGTGCTTGCTTTTTGGGGTTGGAAGGGGGAGGGTGAGCGGAGGGAGGGGATTGGGGGGGGGGTCGAGTCGTATATATGTTAATTCTTTTTTCTTCTTTTTTTATTCCTCATTTGGGTCGTTTTCGTATTGCTGTTACAGTATTGTGAAGGTCACCATCTTGATCTTCGTCATCACCTTAATCAACAACAAAAAAATCTACAACAATTATACAACATTGAGAGTAACATAAACATTATCAACAAATTCATATTCATAACTGCAAGTATAAATATGATAGGATTATATTCATTATCAATGTATCATAATCACCATTATCATCAACCAATGTCTAGTCTTCCAAAATTCTTCATCCTTAGGAAAAAGAAATAAGGCTATCACTCTTTTCTTCATTTTCTTAATCATTCCCTTTATTACCCAAGTTGCCTCCTCTCCTCCTTCTATACTTCAACCTCTCGTCCATACTCTCCTTCCTTCTCTCACCATCTCTTCCTCCTTCATTAATCTCTAAATCTCCTTCTCCAATTTCTCCCAAGTCCTCTAAAGTCCAGCGATTCATTTGTTTCCAAGTTTCTTCCTTCGCAACTTCGGTTCAAAGTCCGGCCTAAAGGGGGGGGGGGAAGGGGGTCCGATGTGCACCTCCTAATTTGGCTCAACATCTACTTTGATTAGATGCCTCTCTCTCTCTCTATCCTCTCTCTTTCTTTCTTCTCTTTCTTCTTCTCTCTCTCTCTCTCTCTTTCTCTCTCTCTCTCTCTCTTCTCTCTCTTCTCTCTCTCTCTCTCTCTCTCTCTCTCTCTCTCTCTCTCTCTCTCTCTCTCTCTCTCTCTCTCTCTCTCTCTCTCTCTCTCTCTCTCTCTCTCTCTCTTCTCTCCAATATCTGTCTGTCCTGTACACACACACAAACACACACACACAGAAAAAAAATACATATATAAATAGATAAATAAATAAATCGATACAAAAGGAAGCTCCCCTACTCCCCCCCCCCTTCCTCCCACCCCCCGAAGCTCCATCAAGATCACGTGGTCGCCAATTCTTTTAATCCGTTTTTTGCGCTCGCCAGCATGCGCTCAGGCACCGCGCTGGGCCGCATGGTGTCAGGGGCTGTCATGTCATGCTCTTTCTATGGAGCGAGGCATGAGAGTGATGAGGATCTGGTGATGATGATGAGGATGGTGATGTTGTTGGTGATAGTGACTGTAGGAAGAGGAGAGGAGGAAAGGGGAGAGGAGGAGGAGGATAATGATATGGTGATGGAAGTGATGATGATGATGTGGCGATGGTGATGATGATGATAATGATGATGTGATGGATGATGATGATGATAATGATGATATGGTTATGATAATGAGATAATGATGATGATAATGATAATAATGGTAATATGGCGATGGAGATCATGATGATATAGTGATGGAAATAATGACAATAATGATGATATGCACTGTACAACAAAGACAAGTAATACTGCAAATTAAGTGCATCATCATTATTTCCCGACACCATTCCCATTCATGAACATACAACAAACAAAACAGAAATACAAGAACTGGCTTTAAAAACATCAACCGCATTCGTTGTGTTTTAGATAGACAGAGTAAATAGATAGATAGAACTGTATTCATTATGATAAATGTGGGAAAGTTAGGCATGCGAAAGAATATCGTCACAATACAATATATAGATAGATAGATAGATAGATAGATAGATAGATAGATAGATAGATAGATAGATAGATAGATAGATAGATAGATAGATAGATAGATAGACAGATAGAGATAGATAGATAGATAGATATAGATATGATATAGAAATATATTTTCATTCTTTCCTTCTTTTTTTTTCTTCTTCTTCTTCTTCTTATTGATTTTCTTTTTCTTTTTTTTACATTTTCGAATTCATATCTCCGTCGGAAATACATGATGGAAACGTATTCGAAAACCGTTTAATGAAGTGTTTCTGTTTTTTTTTTGTGAAGATATTCCTTCTTATCCATATCTTTTCTATACTTAATAAATAATGGATTTTACTTAAAACTCCCTTCATAAGACATCGTTCCAAGTATTGTGTACAGTTAAAATCTATGGCATTTCCTTTGTCTTTTATTCACAATAGTTTTCCTGTACTTTTCCGATTTAGGCAAGAGAGCAGATTTCCCTTATTGCAATCTGTGCAAC